TTGATCTTAACCTGAAATACCAACAGTTTTCGCTGTTCGGGCTACCGAACAAGCACAGAAAAAAAAGGTGTGAGTATCAAAAGAATAAAACGGTGGGGGAAAATAAGTCGATCGAAACTGCGTATTAGACAAGCTACTCACTTTTTCTTTCCGTGTTTTCGTACGCACACTAAGCTCCTTGGGATACTCGAGGAACACGCGGAAATTGTGATCGTGTCGGAAAGTGGGATGCGCGGCTAGACGTTGCAGAAACACCTCATGCATGGCCACAGTCTTCTTGAACGTAGCTAAATACTCCCTGGGTGTAGTACAGGTTTGGGAGAAAGAACATTTTTATTGCATTTGCTAGTTCGATGGTAAGAGATTGGTGTTGGTCTAGAAAGCAATTCATCATACAATTCAACGCACCACATGAGGGAAACGCATGAGAAGCAGTGCAAAGTTGCCTTCAGTTGGCTGTCAGCGGTGCGTATCCACCAAGCTTGCAGAGGTTGAAACTTGAACTCCGTAGATATGCACCGCTGAGGGTGATCCGAAACAAGCTAGATGAAACAGATGTATTTTCCGTGGTATACGTGGCACGCTGACAATGCATGATGAACCACATTCTAGACACTCGAGAATGCCTATGATGCCCCGAACTTCGAGGGAACTTTGATTCAAAATCATGGACTTTGACGATATGAAATAAGAAAAAAAAACAGAGTTCATCATTTTAGTTTGAAAGGGTTGGGGTGGGACGTTAGGCGGGCGGTTTCGAGAACATGTATTAAAAACAGCGGATCAGCCTATTGTCAGTCTATACGACACTCCTATCGCAGATTTTTCCTTTATTGTCATTTCGTTTGCGTGTCTGTTTCCGCAAAACAGAGCGTTACACAAGATTTAGACAAAAATGCGGCGAATGGGTTTTGTTATGACCTTACTGGAACAACACTGAAATTTACTAATCTGTATGCCACAGGGACAATTCTGAAACGATTTACATTTGGGAATTTTTGATAATAAAATCCCGAAACAGATGAACACTTCCGTTAGACGCTTGAACAACTATAGGGTAAGGCACAATATTGAGAGACAAATAAAAACCTAGATGGGCATTATTCAAATTCAAAAATTCCTTTCCTGACAGGAATTCGGACAGAAGATACAGAACCGTCAGGCTGTATGTACAATTTCATTTCGCTGTATCTCAACTGATTATCTATATCTATATCTGCAAGTGGTGTACATGATCCTAAACAGGCTTCTTCCGAGTATGCCGTTTGGTATACTGAACAGTTTTAAATTTAGCACGTTTTAGTTTACGTGCGAGGCTATCAATGGCGCACAATGTTGGATGAAGGTCAGGAACCAGATGCAAGGAAGTATTCCTTGGGAGAACAAGTTACGTTTCTTGGTCCCAGTTACGACAAAAATCTGTGACAATACAAATGTATGCGTCTTTGAGTGGAGTGGCAAAAGATTACTGTATAT